TGCAAGTCCATTCACTGTGCTGCTTGCTTGACATGCATTCTCGTATTTCCGACTTTCAAAATAGTTCCATCATTGCCATTTGCAAATGAAAAAAACTGAAGGTCAAAATTTTTAAGAAAATTACCCAGGGGATGCCCGGGTGGCTCAGTCGGTTAAGCGTCTGACTTTGGCTCAGGTCATGATCTCGGGTCCTGGGATCGAGTCCCATGTGGGGCTCCCAGCTCAGCAGGGAATCTGCTTGTTCCTTCCCCTCTTTGGCTGCCCCTCCCCCCACTTGTGCTCTCTGTCTCTTTCTCAAATAAATAAAATCTTTAAAAAAAAATGTCCAAGTCACCTAAATAACAGAATGAAGACTCATACATATGACCAAGACTAGCTTTTACTATAATAAGCAGCCTCTAAACAACAAAGAAGCTTCACTATTTTTTCCTAATGCTATCCCTAAGAATTTCATAATACATCCTCAGATTTTTTTCATTCTCCTTGAGCATTTTAGTAAATATGATAGTGGAATGCATTCCACAGAGTCATTGCTGCTTTGTAGTTGCTATAGTTTTTTTTTTGCACTTGATACCCACATTAAATGTCACTCTCAAAGTATTTATACTGAGAATAATTTTTAAAGAGTTTTTAGATATGCCATACTGTAAGGGAAATTAGCTTCAGAAACAATGTCACCACAAACAGAATATTTGAATTCTGAAAAGAATTCCCACTACCACTGGATTCTATATGTGCAACAGCAAAAGCAACACAACCTGATTCTGCCTGGTGAGTTCTTAAATATGTTCAAGAGTCAAGAACAGAGTAACTGTCCCCAAAACGGAAATTTCTGTGCAAGAAGAGAAGGGAAATCACATCACCTTTCTTAAGGTAAAGGCTAAAAGGGTGGCAGCACAAACCCCAATAATCTAAAGGCTGAGAAGTATTAGAGGTCCCAGGTAGAAGGAATATAAGCAGAAAATTTTCCCCATCTTATGGGGCCTGAGGCAAGGGAGAAAGGGCAGCTACTGCCCTCTAGGAAAGAGGTCTACCTCCAGCACTCTAGGAGAGCCCCAGGACCCACAACAGGATTCGGGTTGCAATCAAAGATGGAAGATGTTCAGGCCTCATCTGGTGGGGGAACACTCAGTAATGCTGTCAGGGACCACATGGATACTTTCGATGCTCCTGGAACCCTGTTTTGGACAGAAGGAATGTGGAAATAGGGTCTCAGGAGTAGACTGAGCCAAGCTCAAGACAGAGAACACAAAGGTTTTGGTTATTGAGATGCACAGTCTTTAAATTATACCCAGTGGGTATGTCCTGCGAAATACCTGGTATGCTTTTTCTCTCATCATTAGGAAAGCAATTATAAACAAGAGTTCTCAATTGCTCTATCTCTTACATATTTTCCTACAAAAATAGCTTTATACATTAATTTCCAGTAAAGAAGCATTGAGGCTGCTTTACTGTATATGTACGAGAAATCCACAGCCTTTGTACGCTATGACCTCTTGAACTCATCTACGCTCTGCAGGAGACTTTATTTCCAAATGTTTATACCTCACTTTTTTTTAACAGTTTAATATTCAGGAGACTACTCTTCAGAAATTGGCATTTTGTTAATCAGAAAAAGGTTTTCATCGCTGTTATACTTCAGAAAGGATGTCAAAGGGAGGGGCGCCTGGGTGGCTCAGTCGTTGAGCGTCTGCCTTCGGCTCAGGGCGAGCCCCGCATCGGGCTCCCTTTTCCGCGGGAAGCCTGCTTCTCCCTCTCCCACTCCCTCTGCTTGTGTTCCCTCTCACTGTCTCTCTCTGTCAAATAAATAAATAAAATCTTTTAAAAAAAAAAAAAAAGAATGTCAAAGGGAAAAACTACACTTTCCTCTAAGATTTGGTTCTCAGATATGCAAGTGCCACCCTTGAGGTTATGGTGAGCCAGCTATGAGCACAGTCTAGGAGAGCAAGCTCTATAAACTGAGTCAAATAGAATAAGGCATCACCCATAAACAAAGCCAAGAGGCACAGTCATTGTCAAGAGTGTTACATCTGAAAGACAGTTTCAGTATAATAGTTAACATTTTTGAGTAGCCATTATATGCTGGTGCTCTGCTAAGCTCTATTTTTCATGTTAAAGTTTATAGTATGAAAGGTATCAAAATTATAGAATACCAAAGAGCTGCTAATGTACATAGAAATTTAAGATGTTGACACTGTCATTTTTGCTTAAAACCGATCTGTTAAACAAAACACTGCAGGTTCAGCTAAAGCCCATTCCTCATCCCACCTTCCTTTCCTCACACTAAACTTCCCGATTTTTTGTGTATCACTCCAATCACGTATTTTTTTAATACACCTGTATTTATGCAATTTGCCCTTTTCACCCAACAAATATTGTGATATTTACCTATGTTGTTACACGTGGATCTGGTTGATTCACATTGGCTTCTACATTGAACTTCATTGTAAGAATAAACCTCACGTTGATCCACTCCAGGCAGACTGGTTCTATTCTTTTTAACATTCAAGGAGTGCAGTAAGGCCCAATCTCGAGCAAATCTCCTGTGTACATGTGCAAGTTTCTCTAGGTCCTCTCCTTGAAGTGGAATTTCTGGGTCATAAGGTATGCACCCACCAACTTTACTAGGTATTGCCAAAATTATTTCCAGTGATTATGTCAATTTATACCTCTATCAGAAAGGTATCAGTCCTTTTGCCCCCCTGTTTTTTTCCTTGGTGTTTTTCTTACTGGTTCCTAAGCATTCTTTTGGAAGTTATTTCAATGCAAATAAACTCTTCCAATCTATGGTTTGATATTTCACGGTTAAGTATTCTATCATAAAAAAATATCTTAATAACGTGGAAAATTCTATCAACATTTTCCTTCTAGGATTGTGTTTTATGTCTTAAAAAGTTCTCTACCCCAGTGTGATACATTTCTTCATTTTCTTCTAAGTATTTAAAAAATTTCCTCTTCAGATTTTTATCTTCAAACCATCTAGAATGTATTTTTGTGTATGCTGGGTTAGTGAATTTCATTTTATCTTTTTGCAAAGAGATAGCCAACAAAAACAAAAAAAGTCCATCCTTTCATCAGTGACTTTCAAAGCTACATCTGTCATATATCATGTTTTCATATGCAAGTGGGCCTGTTTCTAGGCTCACTATTTTGGTTCTGTTGGTCTGTCTATCCTTGTCTGTTCATATCACACAGCTTAAATTACTCTAACTTTGTAACAAGTTTTGATATCTGGTAGGGTGAGTCTTTTCTAATTATTTTTTCAGAATTTCTTTGGCTCTTCTTGCTCTTTATTCCACCATATAAGCTTTAGGATTATTAGCTAAATCCCCCATCAGTGTCTTTTTCTTACCTGTTTCTTAATCATTTGCTTGTAGTGAATTGAAGCTACTTTTTTTTTCGTTTTGTGGCCAGTTGGCCAAATCTTTTACCCAGTATTCCATCGTTGATCACACATATAAATGGGTATTACTGAGAAAGAGAAGAGAGCTGTGTGGAAAAGTCATGTTGTAACTTCATTTGAAGTTGTATTGATTTTCCAAATTAATTTGGTGAGATTGAGAATAGTTAGAATAAAAAGTGTTCCCAACCATGACATGATACACACCTCCAATTTTAGTCTTCTTTTAGGTCCTTTAATAAATATTAACAATTTTTCCATAAAGCTATTACACATTTTTGCCAGATTGATTCCTGGACCTTTTTTCTTTCTTTTTTTTTAAGCTATTTCCTGCATTTGATCTTCTGGGCCACTAATGCAGCCTCTCCTGTAATTCACCTACTTTATTATTTTATCAAAAAACCATATTTTTAGAGTTGTGTATGTGAGTGTGGTACATTCAGATCTCTTTAAGTACTTTGCTGTTGTTGTTCAGGTGCTTGTCTGTTTCCTCCAGCAATTATTACGCAGAATAGGAATCCTATTTTAACCTGATCCTTTTTCTCTGGTGGCTACTAGAGCTCCTGAACTGTACAATTACCTTCCTCTCAAATAAACCGGGAAATTCCACAGGCGCTGACTGGAAAACGTGCTTCTTGCCCTGAGCTTGGGGTGGAAAGAGGAGACTGTTACATCCCTCCTGAGGCACTCTGGAAGAAGCCTCTCTGATCTTTGTCTGCTCAAGCCTTTCTCCCCCACATTAACAGTACAGAACACTCAACCCATCCCCTTGCCTTTTGTGAACAGGTAGACCCAGGTCCCTCATACCAGGATGAAAATCCTCAGATGTTGAAATGCCAAGCTCTCCCAGGAATTCTCTGAGCTTCTGAGCTCTGATGCTGCTCACTTTTTTGATTCCTCCACCCCTGGGGGCAGAAGCCTAATTCTCTCCACCAGAGCCAGGGGCTGGCTCTAGAACCAAGGGCAAGCAGTTCGGAGTTGGAAATGGAAGCCGTATGATCCCCAAATCCACTATTGGTGTATTTTCTACTTATTTCTTAGTAATTTGTTGGTAGTGAAAATAAATGCTATTAATTGATGTTTGTCTGGAATTTTTGCAGCTGTGTGGTTGGTTGGTCAAATCTTTAATTTAGTATTCCGTTCTTGTTCAACACACATGAACAGTATTTTTGAGAGAAAGGGGACAGGAGGTCCTGCAGATTCCCAAAGAAAAGGCAAAAAAACAAAATATGGCCAGCACTGTCCACTGGTTTTTTTTTTTTTTTTTTTACTTACAAAGTGAAAAGAACTTCCTTTAAATAAGCATCTAAGTGATTTTTGTTGTTGCTGCTGGTCATTTTTTAAAAAATATTGGGAACATTGAGCCTGGGTTTGAAAGATACCCTGAAATCTTAAGAGTAGTATACACCAATTCCCTCCCACTCCTCCCCCAAAAATCTAGTTGGTTTGAATTAACAGAATGATCCGTTTTTCCATTTTTGGTGGGCAGATGTTTGTAAAAGATCTTAGAACTGTTTGTCTCATTTATCACGAAAATTTAGAAGCGAGGAAGCCTTTAGAAGAATTTTTACTTGAAAATATAAGAAGACTAGTACGCAGGTTCAAGTCTTATACTTTTAACATGAGCTTGTTGAAAGAAACGTTAACAATTCCAAAACGCAATTAAACGAGTTCTAACTTTTTCCTCCCCAAAGCACAAAAATTATGGAGAAGAAGTTAACAGATAATTCTTAAAAGGTGAAAACAACGCTTCCTTGTACTAGTCCTTGGGTAGTTTGCCAGAACACAGACTCTTCTTTTCGTTAGTTTCTTTGCAAACGGAATTTTGGTCCCAAGTCTGTCGGTACTTAGTATCTGCTGCGGCCTCCCCCTCTCTCGGAACGGCTTCCCAGGCGGCCTCCGCCCCTGGGGACCCTGCGGCCAGAGCGGCTGTAAGAATCGCGCGGGGGAGGGCATCCCCTCTCTAAGGACGGGGAGAGCCCGCGGTCGGCTCTGCCAACCCGGTCGCGGCCCCTCGAGTAGCGGTCGCTCCGGCCGCCGCCGTAACTGTCGCGGCCGCCGCCGTAGACGTCAGGCGAGCAGCCGCGGTAGTAGTCGTAGCGGCCTCCTCCGCCGTAAGAAGGCGGGGGCCCCCGCGCTGCGGCGGCGCTGCGCAGGTCCCCGTAGCTCTCGAAGGGATCTCGGTAGGAGCCTCCACTCGGATGGTCCGCGTAGTCGCGGTCGCGCCCGCCGTAGCCGTCTCGGTCGCCGTAGCCTCTCGACGGGCAGTCGTCGCGGGCACTGGAGTGGCCGTAATCGCGGTAGGTGTACTCTCGGGGCGACGGAGCAAACTCGCGGGGGTCGCGGGCGCTCGGGTAGTCTCGGCTCGAGTAGCCGTCTCTGGGCAAGTAGCCCTCCTCCCGGGGGCCCAGGTAGGGGTCGCGGCGCGGGGGTGGCGGTTCCCGGCGCGGCAGGCCAGCATAGCCATCTCTCCCGCGCGCGGCCGGACCCCGCCCGCTCATTCCTCCGCCGCTGCGAGCCGGGCCCGACGGCGCGGCCCTCTTGGGGGGCGGCCCGGCCCTGCGCGGCGGCGGCCCGCGCTTCATGGGCATAGGGGCCCTGGAGGGCCGCGGGTCGAAATCCCCCGCGTAGCTGCAGTCGTCCGCCGGCCCGCCCCGGGACGGGGGTCGCCGCGGGCCGCCGCCGCCCCCGCGGGTGCCGCGCAGGCCCCTCGGGCGACCGCGGCTGCGGGACGGCGGCGGCGCGCCCCGCCGCCCGCTCTCAAACGTCGGCTTGGTGGCCTGGGCCACCTTGATGGCCTTACCATCCAGGGACTTGCCGTTCATGTCTCTGGCGGCGGCCTTGGCGTCTGCGGGGCTTTCGAAGGTGACGAACGCAAAGCCCCTGGACTTGTTGGTTTCTCGATCTTTCATCAAGAGAACCTCGCTGATGCGGCCATATTTGCCAAACGCGGCCTCTAGGCCTTTCTCATCGGTTTCGGGGTTGAGCCCGCCAATGAAAAGCTTCCCGGGGCGATCCGCCTCAACCATGTCGGCCGGTCGAGGGATCGGTGGCGGGGTAGGGGGGGGCGGGGTGCGGCGAGAGGACGGCACCCGTCGTGGCCTGGGAGCCCGCTCGCCGACGGCGGCTCCTACGGGTCAGGCAGCGCGTCGTCGCGGAGCCCTGGAACCGCTGTCCGCGCCCCCGCTGCGCAGGCGGAACGCTGGGGTGTGTGCCTTTGGGTCTGGGGGCGCAGCCTGGCCGGGCTCTTTCTAGTCGTGATTGGCTGGTGGTCCCGTGGCGGCTTCGAGGAAAGTCTTTCAACTTTGGCTTCTTTGGCTTCATAAACTGTACCTGGCTTACGCTTACTGTCTTCAGTTCACTTTTTTTTTTTTAAAGATTTATTTATTATTTAAGAGTGAGAATGAGAAATAGAGAGAGGGAAGAGGGTCAGAGGGAGAAGCGGACTCCCTGCCCAGCAGGGAGCCCGATGCGGGACTCGATGCGGGACTCGATGCAGGGACTCGATGCAGGGACTCGATGCAGGGACTCGATGCAGGGACTCCAGGATCATGACCTGAGCCGAAGGCAGTCGCTTAACCAACTGAGCCACCCAGGCGCCCCTTCAGTTCACTCTTGAAAGCTCAGTTACGAAATGAAAAGCCGTTAGGTTAAAAAAAAATTTTCCCCCACGAGTCTTAATGAGAAAAATTATAATGCATTTTAATCCAAGTTACCCAGACCATTTTCAAACAGGAAAAAAAAATCCACTGAAAAATGAAATAGCAACTTTAAAAGTTTAAAAATGCAGTTTGTGCGTAAAATGTGTTAAGAATTTTTGCACTTGTCAATGGGGAAGAGAAGACCTGATAGTCGGGTGTTGGTTTCTGGAATAGGAAAAAGAGGGAGTCATTCTTTGGATGCACCATGTTCCTGTTCGCCATCTTCTACAGTTTGCCAACCTTCAAAGGGCTCATAGTTTTATGTAATATTGCCCTTTAATATAAAGGTATTGCACAGAAAGTCACCTTTAGGGGAAATAAAGGGAGAGAGCTCTTGGACATTCCTCACAGTAGCACCTGAGCAAGCAAAACAGGCTAAAGCCTTTGCCTCTTCCTCTCCGAAGAGGTACATCTCAGGGAAACAAAACATTTTAGGTTCAAACAAATGACACTATTCAGATGTGCTCCTTACAATATTCTCTGAATGGAACTAAGTGTGAAGAGTAATTTGGTGAACATAGCTTTGCTTGAGATTCTGACATCTAAAACTACTTTCTAAAAAAAAAACTAAAAAACTATAGTGTATTTGGGGGCTTTTTAAAATAATAGTTTAGATTTTTCAAAGGCTGCTATGTGAAAAGTTAACCGAATAGTCATGAGAAGTCAGTATCTGTGCATGTAATATGTGTACATGTGTTACATTGGTTTACTGCAATAGCTACATAATGTTGAAAGAGGTGGTGAAAGCAGGCATTTTTATGATGTTTCTGACTTTAATGCATACATTTTTAAGGTTTTAAGATTTTTTTAATGTGCATGAATGGCAGTTAAATGCATCACATCAGTTCATGGGATAAGTTGCAGTAACAGATTTTATTATTAAATCATTATTATATTTCTAAGGTAAGCCTACCTGGTCAGGATGTATTTATTTATTATTTATTTTTATTTTTAAAAGATTTTATTTATTTATTTGAGAGAGAGAGAGAGAATGAGAGATAGAGAGCACGAGAGGGAAGAGGGTCAGAGGGAGAAGCAGACTCCCTGCTGAGCAGGGAGCCGGATGTGGGACTCGATCCCGGGACTCCAGTATCATGACCTGAGCCGAAGGCAGTCACTTAACCAACTGAGCCACCCAGGCACCCAGGATGTATTTATTTTTAAATAAATTTATTTTTGTTTGCTCACACTTAGAAATTTTACATTTCTGAGCATAAAGGGCATTGGCCTATAATTTTCATTCCCTTACTGAGCTGGGAAGATTTTTGCCTAAATTTCTTCTAATTTTGAGTTCAGATTTTTTAAAATTTCTTCTTGGTTTTTGTAGGATACACCTTTCCAAGTTATTCATTTTTCTTTAATTTGAAATTGTATTTTATGGATAGCTGTGTTCTGTTTTGCTTTGTTTTGTAACCAGTCTCACCAGAAATTTTCTTTTCAAAGCACCCTTTTTCTTCGTTAATACTGTTTTGATTTTATTTGCTACTATTGTCCGTCTTTTCTTCTTTCCACATTCTTTGGATATACAGTTTGTATTACTGTTGTTCTAAATTTTTAGGTAAGACAGTGCATTAAGAGTTTTAAAAAATGTTTCTCCTAATTGCTGTATCTAAGTTTAAAACTTATTCTCTGTGTACTAGTTATCACCATGTCCTGAGCTGTGATACATGGTGTTTCCCTGTTGTTCAGTTCCTAACATTTTCTCATTTTCATGATTTCTTTCTTGACTCATGAATTATAAAGAAGTATGTTTTCAAATTTTCAAACATACAGATTTGGGAGGTTATTTCTTAAAATGCTTTGTATTATCTCCATTCTTTGTTTTTTACTGAGACTTACTTTGTGACCGGCTGTGCATCTGTGTGCGTGGGTGTGTGTGTGTGTGTGTGTGTGTGTGTGTGTGTGTATGTGTATCTGTCTGTCCGTCTGTGTAATGTTCCATATATGCTTGAGTGGAAAGTGTATTCTCTAAATACTGGGGTAGAATTCTTTCCTTAGATGTTTAAATCTAGCTTATCCTATTTTTATATTTTTATTTGATAGAATTACCAATCACTGAAAATGGTTTTTAAATTTCCCATAATTGTGGATCTGGCAATTTCTCTTTTTTATTTTGTCAATAACTTTTTTTAAGATTTTTTTATTTATTTGACAGAGAGATAGAGAGTACAAGTAGGCAGAGCGGCAGGCAGAGGGAGAGAGAGAGAAGCAGGCTTCCCACTGAGCAGGGAACCCGCTGTGGGGCTCCATCCCAGGATCCTGAGATCATGACCTGAGCCGAAGGCAGATGCTTAACGACGGAGCCACCCAGGCGCCCCAATTTCTCTTTATTTTTATGCACATTTTTGCTTCATGTAATTTAAGATTGTATTGTTGTATATATAAGTTGAAAACTGCTCTGTATTTCTGGTAAATGTCTTTATTATGTAATGATTCTCATTATCCATATATCCATAACATTTTTATCTTAATCTGTTTTGTCTAATATTTATATAGCTCAATATTTTTCAGATTTCCTTCTGTCAGCTTATTGTGTGCTGTTAACCACACCTTCCTTGCCTCTTTTTTTTCAACTTTCTTGCATTCTCTTGTATCAAATGGTTTGTCTTTATTCCTTTCTTTTTCCTCTACTAACATGGAAGTTTTGCCTTCAACTTCTATTCTTTGAATGTTTACCTTGAATGTTTTTATTCAGGGCTAACTTATAAACACTAAGTTTATAAGTTTATTTATAGAATCTTATATTTTATGCCTGATTAATTTTTACATATGGTGCAGGAGTGGAGAAGAGTAGTTTTTGGGGCTCCTAGACAAGGGAACCTTGTGCACTGCGGTATCAAAACCCATTGGTGCATCCCTAACAGGAGCTGTAATCAGATCAAGAGAATATAAACATGTTAAGTGTTGATAGGATTAAAGTAGAGATTTGGGTGAAAACTAGAATGTTTACATGAAGTGATTGGATCTCTATTCCTCTGAGTGTATTACATGGATGGATATTGTGTCTGGTAATGTTTCCCTGCCCCAGTATTGTAAAACTCCAGGCATGTAAAATCCACCCTTCATGCAGTATTAGTTAGACATTGCTAAATGGGAACAAATAAGATTGCCCAAGCCCACACAGTATAAAATAAAAACTGGAGTGCTGTTATGGGCAAATTCTGTGTACCAGAGAACCCATGTGGAATATAAACTGGAGCTTATGGCAAAGCCTGTGAATGCCCCACAGTAATGACTACTGGGACTTTGGACTAGAGGGTTTCCATTTGAGGGGCAGTTACTAGCTTGCTATTAGACATTAGTTGGCACTGCCCCTATGACTGAAGGATATAAATATTGTATAACCTCACACCCATTAGGATGGTTACTATCAAAGAACCAAAACAAAACCCCAGAAAATAATAAAGGACATGGGGAAATGTTGGCAAGGACAGGGGGAAATTGGAACACTTGTACACTGCTGGTAGGAATGTAAAATGGTGCAGCCACTGTGGGAAACAGTATGGTGGTTTTTCAGAAAAAATAAAAGTAGGATTACCTATATGATGCAAATGTTCAGAATACTATAAAAGAACCATGAGAAGAGGAGACTGCACCAATTTGGATCAGCAAGTCCTATTTCTTCAGACCAAGGAACATGCTTTACAGCCCATAATGTCCAACAATGAGTAGGGAGGTATCTTCCTCATAGTAATAGTTTGACAGAGAATTGGAATGGGCAATTAAACATTGTTCATCTGTAACAGGGAGATCCATACATGAAGGCTGGCTTACATGCCTTCACGAGTATTTGCTCACACTCAACGTAAGGAGGGCTAAGGGAAGATAACTAACGACTGTAATTTTTCTTTATTATGTTAGTCACCATACAGTACTTCATTAGTTTTTGTTGTAGTGTTCCATGATTCATTGTTTGCCTATAACACCCAGTGCTCATTGCAGTATGTGCCCTCCTTAATACCCATCACTGGGCCAAACTGTAATTTTTCTTTCTTCCCCTTATCACATCAATTTTCTTTTTCTTACCTAATGGTTGCAGGACCAAGGCTACAGCTATAAGTTCCAGAAGCAGGGATGATTCCTAAGTAAGAAACTATATTTTAAATCCTTATGTCAGAATTCCTAAGGACCTGATGGAGTGTACCTTTACCCTATTTGGGAAAACCATGATTAACAGTGAATGCAGCTATGTCTAATAGTAAAAATAGCCCACTAATTCTGTATCTGTGTAACCCTACTCTAAATGAATGGTAGTGGGCTGAGGGGGAGGTACCTCCTAGACTAATATTGCTGTCTGCAATCTAGAGCTGCACAATGAGTGAACTTCA